TGATAGGTACCTACCATTACCAGCTATTTTTTTAGTACCAACGAATATGAATGACAATCGTTTTGAATTAAGGGGGGCTACATTCCTTGTTGCACTTCGCTAGAAAAAGATTGTTCTTAACGGGGAGACAATGGCCTTGAATAAATGACGACAACGACTGGTCTATAACTTGATGAACCAAACTTGGCCTCTTTTATACAAAACCACAAACGACGTAAATTACGGTCAAACCAAATAGGTTTTTTTTTTCTAAAATAATAAAGTAATATTTTAATTATTTATTAAAGTGATTATATTAGTGATATTGAATTTTTTTTTTTTTTAATTTATCAAAATATATATTAGTCGCATTATAAAAACTTATGGATTAAATTATTCTCTCATTTTCATAATTTTAACTGATAAGTGTATAGAATTTAACTCATTGAATTGTGGCGATAAAATATATAATGACAATATGTATAGAAAGTAGGCGAATAGGTAGTGAACATTGTTGTAAGTCTACATATAGTACCATAGTATGAGCTTCATATAAGTAATAACTGTACTCCTATTGTACTTGTAGTTTGTATGTACCACAAGAAAAAAATATATCCAGGTCAAGTAGGTAAGCATTGAAGAAACAGTTCACATAGATAGAAATTATATTTTAAATAGAAGTGTTAAACAAAATAAATGAGAATTTCAGTGTTTGTATAGAAGAATATAGGTATAATAGTCAATAGATACTCGTGTATTATCATACATTCATACAAACACATTTATACTTATAAATATATGAATATATTATGTAAGTAAACAACATAACATCAATATAACTTATAAGTAAGTGCTTTTTATTTTTCTTCATAATATTATGTACTTACTTGAACTGTAGTTTTATTAAAAATCGTATYACCTATACGGTAGTAATATCACTAATATCTATATATTATTGAATTTTGAATATTAATATTATTGTTAATTGATAATCCTTAAAACACGTCTTAAAGACTAATTATTTTTATACTGTAAATGTTGAAATAAATTGTAAATCTACAAAGTTTCAATAACAAAAAAAAAAAAAAAATTCTATAATCTATCATAACTATGTAATATAATGAATGTTTTATTTTATCATTTCTAGATGATGGGCTCTAAACGAAAATGAAAATGAATATCATGTATAAATAAATACCTATATACATGTTTATTGAGCACGCAGTGACAGTGACATAGGTATACCTATAAACAGCACACATAACGAGTTCCTAACAACATTAAGCAGTTTTCATAAGATAGGTACCTATTATTTAATTTTTATTTGCAATACGATTACATCACTCCTGCTTCATCAATCATCTTGCCTATCTATAAATCATTGGTGTTAAAGCCGGAAGAATAAATTAAACACTCAGCCAGTCAGTAGTATATATTATTATTAGTGAAACCATTATGATCTGTCCATTAGTAGTGTAGACTGTAGACTGTAGAGCATAGAGTGTAGGTATATTGTATATACATTATGCCGAATACCTATAGGTACTTAATTTAAACGCCATTATATTGGATGTTTGTTGACTTGTTGTAAGACATCAATTATTTCGAAATTTTCAAATCATTATCTAATGTACCTATGGATATTCTTGTGCAATTATTGTACCTACATATTTTCTTTATTTACTTTACAGATAAGAAGTTAATATAGTTAAAATAGTATTTTTTT